GACTCCAAGTATAGGAAGGCTGTGTGTAGGTTATACGCAAATATTACACCATTTTATGAGAGACTTGAGCATCTGTGGATTTTGTTATCCTGGGGGGGCCTGGAACCAACCGCCTTGGATATCGAGAGACAACTGTACCTACTTTTTCTCAGTCCCACGTAAAGGTCCTATAGCCTCGAAGCCAGTGGATCTTGGCCAGTGTTAGAGGGACGTGAGTGCATTACATCGGTTCAGTGCACCTTGTGAATAATAATTGGCTTAATTTTTACAGGGGTGTTGGCATTCAGGAAGAGGTTTTCAGTAACCCACATCAATCTTTTATTTGTAGGATTACAGACAGGGTGACAAAGTAAGAATTGTCAGGCTGCAAGGAGAATAAGCTTGGTTAAAGTTGAATCAGTTTGGCACCTGGTGTGGAATAGCACTTCTGAAATTAGATGACCTAGCTTCATATCCTGGCTCCACTACTTACAAGTTAGGTGACTGCAGGCAGTATTAGCTGAACACTTAATAGTTTGTGAAGCTGAATACAAATGGTGGGCACTGTGAGGCTCCGCCATCACGTTGGACCATGTGCCCACCTGTGCCAGGGAAAAGCACATTACCTGTAGGCTGTGGATTTTAGAAAAGCCTAAGTGTCTTTATAGCTGAGGGCTCTGGCTAGAGGCAAAGACGTGCCTGGCAAATTCCCAGGCTTTATGCCTTTGTCCTCACTTGATGAAATTAACCTTTTTTCCCCGTGAAAGTGGTAGCCTCTGAGACGGATAGTTACACCTTCTCCTGGTCTCACCATTGCCCCATGGAGCTCCATCACCCTGTTAGCCTCCCCACCCTGACACTCTGCTTCCTGGGGGTAGGACTGTGGATTTATGCATTTGCTGAAACCCTGGCTGTGTCTAGTACAGGTGTGAGATGAGTGAATTTTGGTGGAATGCAGTTACATCCTCAGCATGTCTCTTGCTACTTGGGGTCAGACAAACATAGACTCTGGGGTGCTTTAAAAGATAGCAGGTTCCCAAGTCACCATTTCACTAGAGGCAGATGGACTCCTGCTTGCCTCCCAGTGGGGACATGTGGGTGTGAGCCTGCCCCTGACCAGACTCCAAACCTTGACCATTGTTTTGTATTTTTGACCCTCCCACTCCTATACTTTTGGTTCAGTTCTGTCATTTTCTTACCTCCTTTCACAATTCCATGGCTCCTTCTTGGGTCCCCATTTTTAGTGTCTACCAGTTCCTTCTACACTCTAGTTTGTTTTTTCTTAATTAAATTTAAGTCCTTGCACCTGGGCCTCCTAGCATCTGGGGGAAGTGGAAATCCAGCTTTGAGAACACTTCCTCTAACACAGGCTTTCTTCCTTGTCCTGAGTCTCCTCCTCCCCCACAGTGGCCAGTTCCTGGAATGCGCTTTCTTTGGACCCCTTCTGCCACCTGGTTGCTGATTACTCAGCCATGAGCATTCTGCTTCCTTCTTTGTTAAAATTGCAGCTCCAGCCACCCCCACGCCTGCTGTGTGCTAGGCCAGCTGCTCATGCTGTAGGGAGCTGCAGTGACTTAGTTGGCTGTGTGTGCCTGGCCATTAGTGGGGTCCCATGAGGCTGGCACCCGAGCAACACCCTGCTTCCTTTAGCCTGGTGAGATGGAGAGCACGGTGTACATCCTGTTGGAAGGACAGATTGCATTCTAGATAGTTCCCACCGGAGCAGGCCTGGGCCATTCTAAAGACTGTCAACTCATGTAAAGAATGGTATTTTATGAACCTAGTATATGTAACAGCCTACGTCAGCCCCCTTCCACTCCTTCCCTCAAGTCATTAAGCTGGACTTTTTCAGCGATAGAACTTGCATTAAATTGGAGAGTGAAAAAAAATTGTACCATTCACACCCGCCCACTTTTATCAGAAACCTTCAAAACAGCATAGAAAAGGCTTTATCTCTGACATCATTTTACTCCTATTGTTCTATAGGGATCTAGGAAAAAACTTGGACTTAGAACTTCTGTGGGAAAGGGGCAGGTTTTCTTAGCTTTTTTAGGAGGATATCATCTGAGGTAAGCACTCTAATAATAAACGTGTAGGGAGTAAGATGGCTCGTTTTTCCAAGATTTCTGTCAAAACCTCGAAGAAGTGGGTATCGACCCTGGTACACTTTCCTCCCGGTCAGAAACAGCAACCTAATTCCCAGCTAATGCATTCAGAGCCTCCTGGCTACTTGCTGCGTGACCCCTTTCCGAGGTGGATGGCTGGCTTGGTCTCCTGGGCCCCTGGCTCACTCACTCTGTGAGGCCTGGCGAGGAAATCCCATTGAACTGTCTTTACCTTGCACTTGGCTTTTATTGTTTTGGGGGAGAGAATTGCTTATTAACCGAAAACTACATCGAGGAGAGGATGGCAGCAGCCAGGCACTCTCTGGATGTCAGTCACACCTGCCAACCAAGCTGAAAACAATGCAGGTAATAGGGGGCTTTCACCCCCATCTCCCTGTAAGCTCCCTGCCAAAAGGGGTGTCGAGAAGTTACTTTACAGCGATTTTTGCACGTCCCCAGCGTAGCCTTGTCTGCCAAGGGTTGCGTTGAAATGTCACATCTTCCCTTTTAACTTGTTACCCAAGCAGTTGTTTGCTGATGACTTTGTTGTGATTTTCAACTTGACTGGAAAAAGTACAGCTGAGTCCAGAAGGAAGAAAAGAAAAGGCAATTCCAGGAGAATGACCCCTGTCCAGCTCTGTGGCTCCCCACCCCCCAAGGCCTGGTCTCCCAGGCAGGTACTCACACACCTGCCTCCCTCAAGCCACTCAGAACCCTCATCTGGACTGGGACACCTGCTTTCCCCCAGAATCTGCTCTTGACCCGAGAGCTTTCCAGAACAGGCCGGTGGTACAGATGGCAGCTGGGCAGCCCCCGAGCCCTGTGCTTATTCTCCTCTTGTCCTGCTATCTGCCTTCTTCCACTCTATCAGAACTCGTGTCTGATTTTCCTTCTCCACAAATAAATCATCTTTCCTCGTTTCCTCCCTACTCCCTCGCACCTTATGACACTGCGAGGTCATTTCCTTCCCATCTGTAAAGCCAGAGCCCTGGATAGGTCTTGGCCCACTCTTCCCTCAGCTCTCCGTTATCTTGTTGGACACACGACTCTTGGAGTTCTTTTTCCTCTTGTTTGTCCAAAGGGGACCACATGGGGTGATAATCCTCTTTTGGCCTAGCAGGTAAAATGCAGAAAGGACCACCCCTGCTCCTCCATGACCTGGAGATGGCCAGTGACATGATCCATGCAGAGGGGCCCTGTCCTGGGGCCAGGCGGGTGCCAGCCTGCCCTGTGCGCTGCTGGCTGGGGCTGCGAGGACATGGTGGGCAGCCGAGTGTTCTAGGTGGTTAGGTATGGACTTGGCTAGATCTGCGATCTCCATGCAGACTTCCCTTTTCCAGTGACTTCATTGCAGCCAAGCTAGGTCAGTAGGTATCAGTTGATGATAAAAATGAACGATCAGTGGTATTTTTGTCTTTCAGTAGCCAAAAATCATAATGATAGCTTCTCTCTGCACATGTTGTTGGTTTTGTTTGTTTGTTTGTTTTAACAAACTCGATTTTAGAACAGTTTCTGATTTATGGAAAAATTGTGAACATAGTGCAGAATTCCCATACACCCCACACCCAGTCTCCCATTATTAGCACCCTCCATCCACTGGTGTGTTAGTTACAAGGAATGAACCAATAGTGATAACTTTATTCAGATTTCCTTAGTTTTGCCCTCAAGTCTTTTTTCTGTTCCAGGGTCCCATCCAGGATACCACATGACATTTAGTTGTCATGGCTTCTCGGGCCCCTCTTGTGTACGACAGTTTCTCGAACTTTCCTTGTGTTTGATGACTGACCGTTTTGACAAGTGTTGGTCAGGTGTTGTGTAGAATGTCCCTCATCTGTGATTCATTGGACAGTTTTCTCATGATGAGGCTGGGGCTGTGGGTGGAGGAGGGCCACAGGTGGAGTGCCCCTCGTCACATCATACCACATGAATCACTGTTAAGGTTGACCATAGTTTCTCTACTGTAAAGTGACTTTTTTTCTCGTTGGAAGGAAGTCACTATGGGCAGCCCACGCTTAAGGGTGGCAGTTTAGTCCCACCTCCTTGAAGGTGGATGCTGGCCCATCCTGGCCAAGGGCTCATGGCAGTCCCCCCTTGGAATGAGCCTCGTAGTAAGGTCGGCCTGTGCATTTCAGGAGAGCCACTTAAATGCTGGCCTGGGGTGCTGTTTGTGATGGGTGGCTTCCTGGGGCCCTCACGGGGTATGCCCCATGTGAAGGATGGATGACATAAGCCATACATGAACATGAGTCCTCTCTCAGTATGTACTCAGGAGTATATCGTATACACATCGGGCCAACATTTTGGTCCAGGAAAAATCTGCTTCGTGGAGGAGTAATACTTACAAAAGGCCCTAACTTGTAATAATTCAATATTTTTCTGTTCTGAGACTAATTCTCTGTTAACTTAAAAGTAGAAACACCTCGGTCCTTGCCCTCAGAGGATCCCAGAAAGTTCTAAAAAGCATTGTCATTGCTGTTGGAGGCTTTTGGGTTTTAATAATTAAATTCCAATATGGTTTAGTTTGCCTCCCCTGACAGTATACTTGGAACAACATCTTGTTTTCTTGGTAAATTGCATGACTATTGAGGGCAGGAACAGTGTCATTAATTTGTGTTTCCTGTACTGCATAGTTTCTGTTGCATACAAGGTTTCAGTAAAGCACTGACAGAAACGTGGGTGCTGAGACTCGGGTTGAAGGCAGCCAGTGCACCAGCCCTGGGGGTTCTGTGCATGGGGGCTCAGCCTCGGGCTGGGCGGGTCCTGCGTGAATGTTCTGATGGTGGAATTCTGAGATTTTAAACATTTTAGCAGCAAGGGACAATAAAGGACCTTGTCGCTGTCTGAATGGAGATTAGAGGGGTTCGAGGGTGAACGCAGTGCCAGTAGTGTGACACCCTTGTTTTTTTTCTTTGGCAGACTCGACGGCACAATGGGCTGCCAGGCGCTGCTCCACGTTGGCCAGCAGATGCTCAGGCGGAAGGTGGTAGACTGCAACCGGGAGGACAGCCGGCTGTCCCGCTGCCTGAACACCTTTGACTTGGTGGCGCTGGGCGTGGGCAGCACGCTGGGTGCCGGCGTGTACGTCCTGGCCGGAGCTGTGGCGCGTGAGAACGCAGGCCCTGCCATTGTCATCTCCTTCCTGATCGCCGCGCTGGCCTCAGTGCTGGCTGGCCTTTGCTATGGCGAGTTTGGTGCGCGCGTCCCCAAGACCGGCTCGGCCTACCTGTACAGCTACGTCACAGTAGGGGAGCTCTGGGCTTTTATCACCGGGTGGAACCTCATCCTGTCCTACATCATCGGTGAGTCCCCCTCTTCTGTTCTTCCTGCCTCCCAAGCGTGGTGGATGGCCCCTTTGCTCCCCAAATAGGCCGAGTCCAGCTCCTCCCCAGGAGCACCCTCTCGCCTCACTGCTGTCCGTCTTCCTTTGTCCCTTTATGAAGGCAGAGGCAGCCTTGTGGGCACCGCTCACTGACCCCTCTGTTCTGTGCCCTGGACTTTGATGGTCAAGGATGTCAGGCCTTTAATGGGGACAAGCCAAGCCAACAAGGTCATTCTTATTACAGGAGAGATGGGATGTTTCTAATTAGTTTAAAAGGATTTTGTCTCTTTTAGTTAGTATTCATTTTTGACTACTAGAGTAAATTCATCACAGACACAGAGAAATGGGGGAAATATAGAAAAGCACAGGGCTGGCCGAATGGCTCAGTTGGTTAAGAGTTAGCTTAAGAGTGTGAGCTCTGAGCAACAGGGTCGCCGGTTCAATTCCCACATGAGCCAGTGATGTTGTGCCAGAGCTGAGCTGCCACTGAGCTGCCAACAGGTGGCAGGATGGCTCAACTGGTGAGAGCACGTGCTCCTAACAGCAAGACTGCCTGTTCAGTGGTGGGCTACGCCCACCCGCAACTAAGATTGAACACAGCACCTTGAGCTTAGAGGCCACAAGCTGCCAACGGGAAGCCAGATGGCGACTGGTGCCCTCCACAACAAAGATTGAAGAACAACAACTTGGCTATTCCCCCTCCCCAATTCCCCAACACTGTTCACCTCCCCCAATTCCCCAATTTAAAAAAAGAAAAGAAAAAGAAAGAAAAGCACAAAGAAGAAAACAGAAATTATGCAACCTGAGAACCTGGAGAAATTAATTTTCATTCATTCATTCATTCATTCATTTATTCATTCTCTCAACAAACACTTGTTGAGCACTTGCTGTGTGCCAGGCATTTCACTGCACACCCAGGGACACAGTGGTGGGACAGACAGTCTGAGTTCGGAAGTGTTTGCTGTCTAGGATTTCACCACGTTCACATTTTTATGCACTAAAATGCTTTTTTTTTATATAGTATGCTCTTTATTTATAAAACAATATATAATAAACATTTCTCGCTGTGTTAACTGTTTTTCCTAGTACTTATGTCCCTAATGATTGCATACTGTTATATAGAAACAAACACCTGAATAAAAGAATAACCAACGGATTTGAATGGCCAGCTCACAGAAGTAGAAATACAAATAACCATTAAACATTCCATTTATATTTTATCGGATTTTTGTCATGTTAGCAAGAGACAGTGGGGTGTGGTGTGTTGAGCCGTGGGTCCCGGGAATGTCATGTGTGGTGCTGCCTGCCGGGGCAGCGGGCCCTTGGCCTCCGTGTGGGGTGCCCACTGCCATGCATCCAGGTGGGCACCTTCCCTTTCCTTTCAGCTGTGCCGTGTCTGTTCGAAAATAAAATTCGTAACAGTGGTTTTCTCGGCACACAACCACACACACTAACACTGCCGATGTCCCTCAGTGGGAAAGCAGCTGTTTGAAATGCGCTGTTACGTTTCCAGAGGATTTTCCTGGGCACAAAACACGCATGTGAGCTTGAGCTCCTGCTGCCCCTGCCCCGCGGATGGTGCTTTTTGGCCAGAGCTGCTGACCTGTGGGAGTCACCATGTGCCACTGCATGTGCTACTCAGCCTTAGCTGCTGGGGAAGGCGGCTCTTCCAGCCAGCATGGGCTGTAAAGCCGACTCAGCGAGAGGGAGGGGGGAGGCCGGGCAGCCCCTCCCAGACAGCAGGGTGGGGTTTGGGGGCCCATCGGCACTGACGGCCTCAGGGGAGATGGGGAGACCATGTTTCTTCACTGGGTGGAGGCCTTTATGGACAGACTTTCTAATTGGCGGGCTGCTCAGAGTGAAGAAATGTGGTTAACTTTTTGAGTTGTTGGGAAAGTACTTACCATGAGACACAATAGCAAGATGGAGTCTGCAGATCCCTCTGGCAGACCTCTGAGGGTGACCCAGACCAGCCACTGGCATGGCCCCCTGTGAAAGGAAAGGGAAGTGCTGTGTGTGAGTACTGGAATTTTGACGACATTTCCTAAGAAAGCACTGGAAAAGGAGTGACTATTCAGAGAGAGAGAGGACAGTCAAATGCTGTTGCCTCCATTTGCATTCCTCGTGGTGGGGGTACTGGTATGGGGACAGTGAAGAGAGCCAGGCTTTGTGGTCAGGTACTTGGGGACCTGTAGGTGTGAGCTGAGGGTCAGGTACAACGTGGCAGAGGTGGCTGACGCCTGCACTGGGGTGTACAGGAGACTGTTGCTGAGGCGACCAGTCAGTCCCTGGTCCTCTCTTGCAGGGAGAGGCCGTGTTCACCAGGAGGCAGGTTCTGTCAGCGCTGTTGCCAGGAGGATCTTGGAAAAGGAACTTCTGAGCAAGGTGTCACACTGCTCACTGCAACCCATGAGTGCATCGTGAAATCAGTTTCATGGCTTGCCACCTGTATTGCTTTTTGTAAGAAAATAAGATAGGTAGAATTGAATAAAAACTATCTGAGTGCCTCTCAAGTGGTAACCTTGTTTTGTAAAACTTTTATTACTCAGATGTAGGTATGGGTACTGGTGGAAAACGCAGCTCTGTGCAGGCCCTAGAAGCCTTCTCGTACTTTTCACTGCACCGTGAACACTAACTGGCCCTCTCCTGAGGTGGCACTTGTTGGGGTCTGGCTGCTGCTGCAGAAGCCACTGTACCCTCTGTGATCCTGCACGGATGCTATAAACATCCAGCCTGATGACACATGTTCTGTCAATTGTTTCCCTTCACTTTCCTCATGTGTATGTTTGTGACAGGTACTTCAAGTGTGGCGAGAGCCTGGAGTGCAACGTTTGACGAGCTGATTGGCAAACCCATTGGGGAGTTCTCGCGGACACACATGGCTCTGCATGCCCCTGGAGTACTGGCCGAAAACCCAGACATCTTTGCTGTGATTATAATTCTCATCCTAACAGGTAAAGCCGCACCGTGAGAGATAGCAAGTTGGAGCGCAGCACCCGAGATACAGGATAGGCGCCTATTAAGCTTGTTTCTTCCTTTTCCTCCCCCGACCAAGTTTCTTTTTTTTCTTTTTGTAAATAATACAGACACCGTTTTTTGTCTTAATAGCTTCTGATAGATTCACATAGCGTTGGCCTATTTAATAGCTGCCTGGTTGAGTGTCATTTAGTTAAGAGACCCTCAGGGTTTTATGTGACTGCGGAGTATGATTTTGTTAGATCTGCAGGGTTTTTTACAAGTGACCCAGGAATACAAACTCTTGACCCCAAATGGTCGGTGACCATTTGGAAAGAAAAGTTGGCGCTCATCAGTTAGGGAGATGGGGAAAGGAGTTCTGTCTGGGACTTACGGGAGCCTCGGGCGGCAGGGACATCTGGGATGCTCTCACACCTAACCGCCCTCCCAACACCCTTGAAGTAAATAAGTTCACGACAAAGTTGTGGGTACAGAATGTAAAAATTCCAGACGTGGCTTGCACGCAGCTGATGGCAGCTGCTTCTTACTGACACTTATCCGAGTCTCAGTGACTAGGGTGGGAGTTTGGTTCACATAAACATTAAGCTGAGCAGACAAATTCTCCCTTGAGGTTAGAAAATATTGCTTGGGTTTTAAAGATGTGTCTTGTTTGGTCCACCGCGTAATTGAAATCATTTTGCGCAGGCCAGTCTCAGCAGTATTTCTGGTCCAGTTGGCAGGAACATGTATCAGAAATTAAATTTGCACCACTCAGATTTCCCTAAACACGAGAGGGAGGGACGTGGAAGAAAACACAGCAAGTGTGAGGTAGTGTTCCCTGTGATGGGCTGCTGAGTCCTCTTCTCAGAATTCAATCTGTTATGTGGAACATTCTTGATTGCGAAGTGTATGAAAGACATACATAGCAAAGCGGTGATCTCAAGTCACAAGTGGTGGTCATGCATCCCCTGGGCCCCTTCTCCTTCCTCTCATTTTGTTGTCCAGCTGAGAGTTTACCACAGAAGTCCCCAGATGGCACGTTCACCCCAAGGTGATCCTGTATTGTCATGGCCCCTGTGCGTTTTTATCACTCGGTGTTTTTTGGGTTTTTTTTTTAATGTGAGTTTATGAGCTAGAACGAGTCCAGCTTAGCATTTGCCATGCATTGAGTCCAGGGCTGGGACTGTACATGGTGGGTTCCGTAACCACAGACAGTTGTCACGGCTGACAGTGCTACCACCCCAAGGCAATCTGAATAATTTCCTCATCTGAAAAACTCGTTCTACCCAGAAGCAGAGCAAAGTGTCTCTTCCTTGGAGAAAATAAACCCTGCTCCCAGGGTGGCTCTCAGTCACCTACTTTAGCGAGGGGGAGAGTGCTGGTTCAGGCGCTTACTTCATCCCTTCTCCAGGGGGCAGTGGGCTGTGGTGTTGCTGTCTGCAGTCTCCTGGTGCCCCCAATGGTGTCCTCCATAGGATTAAACACCCAGGACTCTGCTAGTTTTGATCCCTGCCTTTAGAAAGATCATGAATTCAGCCCATCCCCAGAGGCTCACAGAAGTCTTCAGAGGTTTGATGCCACCTGAATTCTTAGGTCACTGTCTCGCGCTTATCCCCGTCCTAGGAAGAACTTACCTGGTATGAGGTTAACACTCAGTTTCCTGCTTATACACATTCCCAGGACTTTTAACTCTTGGTGTGAAAGAGTCAGCCATGGTCAACAAAATATTCACTTGTGTCAACGTTCTAGTCCTGGGCTTCATCATGGTGTCAGGATTTGTGAAAGGATCGATTAAAAACTGGCAGCTCACGGAGGAGGATTTCCAGAACGCCACCGGTAGCCTCTGCTTGAACAAGTGAGTTCTTCCGTCTGTCCCTCCACATGTGACAGTTTCTGTATTTGGGGGATGTAATTGACTAGAACCATAGAGCTTTTTTAAAAAATGTGATTTGAATATTTTGTTAATGTTTTCTTATGGAAGGGAAGTAGCCTTTCAAACTGTTTTATTAGTTTGAAATTTTAAGTTTTATTTCCCTGTACTTAGACAAAATATTGTATGACAATGGAAGCTATTGAGGAAAACAGAATCTTCATTCTAATTCCAAAATCATACACAGCTGAGGACCACTGTCACACTCACTAAGTAATCCCTTTTTTCTCATAATCTGTTTTCATGACCATCCTCTGAGGTTTGTGTTCAGGAAAGATTTTCTCTGTAATACAATGGTAATAGCACTTTATTTTAAAATGCCTTCCTATTTAATAACTCAGAAGGGAGGAGAAGTCTGCAGAACTTTCCTCAAACGTTTTCAGAATTACTAAAGTATCAAAATGTGATTATAATAATCTCTTTCTCCCACACTTGACTTGGGTTGTGTCAGCCCTGAAGAACAGTGGCCCCAGCCCCCTGATGTGTCCAGCTCTGGACACCTAGGGTTAGAGGCAGGTGACGGGCCACCTCTCCACTCTGCCTTTTCAGCCCTCTCAGTGAATCCTCACCGACAAGCTTGTATTTTCTAGGACACAAAAGCCAAACAATTATAATGTGTCTTTTTTATCTTTTTTTTTTTTTTAAGATTTTTATTGGGGAATTGGGGGGATGGGAACAGCACTGGGGAATTGGGGGAAAGGGAACAGACAAGTTGCTGTCGTTTTGTTCTTCAGTCTAGTTGTGGAGGACATTGCTTCACTGGCCCAAGCTGGCACCATCATTGCGCTCTTCCCGGGCGAGGCAGATCAGTCGCCGGCTTCTGGACGGCCGTTCACTGCGGCTGCTGGCC